CTGAGAGAGCAGGAGCGGGGAGTGAGGTAGGGGGGGTCAGTGTGAGGAGAGAGAGATAGGGAGATGGTAGAGACACTGGAGAGAGACAGGATGGGCTGAGAGGTAGAGGGAGGGAGCAGAGAGGGAGAGAGAGATAGGCTGATGAGAGAGAGACAGAGACTGAGATGAGGGGAGCCAGAGAGATTGGAGAGAGGGATAAAGTGGGGGATGGAGAAAGAAACAGAAGAAGGGGGACAGGGGAGACTGATGTGGAAAAGGGGTGGGACACAGGATGGAGGCAGAGAAAACTGGCGAAGGGACTGAGGGTTAGAGGAAGAGAGTTGAGGAGAGACAGGGAGAAACACTGCAGGTGGGGGAGGGACAGGAGGAGGAGGGATGGTGGAAGGAGACCAGGTGTTAGGGATTCGGAAAGGAAGAGGGAGAAACAGACCAAGAAGGGCTCCCAGAGAGCGGAGGTGTGGGCAGGTGGCTTGGAGGGGAATCTCAGGAGGCCAAGGAGTGGCTGGGGGACCTGTGTGGAGTAGGGAGTAGGGGCCTGTGGGGAGACAGGAGTATACAAGGGGTGAAGTAGGGTTTATGAAGTAGAGTGAGTGTATGTTGCAGGGGGTGGGGGGCTTGGGGTTCCTGAGGGTGTATGGGAAGTCTTTGGAACAGCAGGTGGGTGTGAGAGGATCTAAAGGGTGGGGTATCTGTGGGGGTACTCAAAGGGGTTGGGAGTCAAAGCACAGAACTGGGTCTGGAGGGGTCTCTGAATACAGGCAGGAGAACTAAAGGATGCCTAGTCCTAGGATGTCTAAGGGTCTAAAGGTACAGTGTCTGCAATGGGGGATGTGTGACAGGAGCAGGTAGCTAAGGGTAAAGGTGTCTGAGAGTTGAGTTGGGGCTCACAGAAGGCAAAGTGCTGAGGAAGGGGTGAGGGAAGAGGTATCTCAGGGCAGGAGATATCTGAGAAGCACAGTTCTGAGGGAATGGGGATTTGAGCCGGGCTGTGCGAGGTAGATCCCAGGAAGGGGTGAGGACAGAGACCCATTCGAGGAGGAGTGTCCCAATGGGGAGGCCAATCTGAAGGGATGGATGTCTGTCTGAGGGAGAGGCTGCTCTGAGGGTGGGTAGTATGCCGGGACAAGGGATAGCTGAGGGGGAGGCCAGTATGAAGGTACAGGGTATCAGAAGGGTAAAGCCAATCTGAGTGGACAGCTATGTGAGGAGGGAGGCAAGGCTGAGGGGAGGGAGTGTCTGAGGAGGGAGACCAATGTTACAGGAAGGGATGGGTGGAGAATCTTTGGTGAGCAGGAGGTTTGAGACAGGGTTCTACAGGCTCAGGCAGCAGGTTTGGGTGTGTGGGGGTCTACTTGGGAGAAAAGGTAGGGGGTCAAGGGGAAGGACTGAGGGGAGGGCAGCTCCCAGAAAGGGTATGCAAAGGGGGAGGCCAATCTAAAGGCAAGAGATGGGAGAATCTTTGGATGGCAGCAGGTTTGAGATAGGGGTGTGTGGGCTCAGAAGGCATACTGGCGGGGTTTACTTGGGGAGGAAGGGCAGGGGCTAGGCCTGCCCCCTCCTAGCCCAGCCCATAGATGCCCTGTTCTGCTGGCTGCAGCCGGCCACTGCTGTGGTGTGAGCAACAGAGAGCAGGGCTGGTGAGCTGCTGGGGGTCAGCCAGGTGGGGGAGTTTTGAGTTTCGGAGACGATAAATCTGGAGTAGCTGGGGAGAGCCACACACAGAGGGAGGACAGGGAGACCCAGACACAGGGACCAACCTCCCTCCCCCAGAGGTCAGGTGAGAGGCAGGGGGACAGAGATGGCATCAGAGGTGTGGAGTGTCAGGGTGATCGGAGGGTGGCGAGAACCAGTGAGTAGAGCGTTGGTTGCTGGGCTGGTTAGGGAAGAGGAGGCATCAGGAAGGAGGGTAAGGACAGTGGCTCATCCTAGGGACACAGGAACTACCGGAGGAGAGAGGGCAGGAAGAGGTTGGGGATAGGGCAGCGGGACGCCAGGCTGAGCTGAGGTCCTGGGAGGGGAGCTCCGGCAGCACCCCACTGGCTGACCCTTGTCTCTCTCTTGATGTCCTGTCCGTGTGCCTGTCCTGGCCTCTGCAGGGCCTGCTCCGCCATGGACTGTAGCTGCGTCTCAGACCTTCTCTTCGCCCCGCCTGCCCTGCCGGCTCTCTGGACCCCTGGTAACTGTCCCCATTCATCCCCCTAGCCCTCCCTAGGGCCTGCACCCCTTTCCCCATCTCCCTTCTTCAGCCATGCACCTGTGAACCTGTCTTTCTTGGTCTCCATCTGTCACCTGAATAAAACCCCTTTGTAAAAACTTGACTAGGAACTTCACAGCCCAGCTCTCCCTGCCACCTGCCTGCTGGGGCTCGAGGGCTGAGGGTCATTTGGAGGATGGGTAAGGTGTGGATTTGGGAGAGGGATGAAGACCAAGGGGCTGAGATCTGGCCTTCCCTGCCACGCATGTCTAGACTTCACCTTCCTGGGACCTAAGATGCAGAAAGGGCAGGGCCCAGCCTGAAGATGCAGTGCTTAGGACAAAGCATTAAGGTCAGCTTGGACATGCGTTGAGTCACTAGTGAGAAAGGGAGTCTGAGACTGCCTGTTTGCAGTTTCATTGCTCACTGTGTCCTTGCATCACACTTCAGTGTCTCTGAAGGGGTCACTCAGGGCAAATGTCTGCACCGGGATGGCTTTGTGTGAACTTGTATGCTGCCTGCTCACGCATGTTACTGTGGAGGCCATGTGAGGGTCTCTGGACTCTACATTGCATGAGTTTATGCATGATCTGCCAGCTTGTCCACTGTGCTTTATGCCTAAGTGGGGTGAAGAGCTTTACCTGTTTCTGGTGGTCTGTGGTATTCCCAGGGGGCATCTGGCCTATATTTTGGAGTGGGTGGGTGGATGGCCCTGAGTCTGGGTATGGGGAGGGGGCTGCTCCTGGCTTTCAAACTGTGTGTGTTGTGTGTGCATCCCACTGCTAGGTACTGGGGAATTGTCTGCCTGCCTGCTGTGGCAGATCCTTTCTCTGATGCATTTCTTCCTGGTTTGGGGTTGTGCAAGTGTGCATCTGTGATATAGGGGGTCTCCAAGGAAGTGTGCTGTTGGCATGGATAGGCCATGTCCATCTAGATTGAGCCATCATGCCATCTGAGATGAGAAAGGCCAAACAGGCATGGAGATTAAAACCCTCCCTCCATGGGGGCGGGGGGAGGGACGACTGCCTGGCCTTTAGCAGGAAGGGCATGGCCTCCTCAGCCCCCACTTATACACCAGACAGTCCTGCATGGCTGAGCTCCTCCTTACCTCCAGAACCTTAAGCCTGAGAGGGGCAGAGCCTGCCCCATAGCTGCATAGCAATGGAATACCAGAACCCAGGACTGTCGGCTTAGAATGGTGCCTTCCCCACCCTGTGATGGCTTCCCCAACTTCCTTTTTCTTCTCAGATTGCTCTTAGCTTGCTAGAGACCAGCTCTTACCCTATGTTCATGTCTGAGTCATGCCAATCTCTGAGTAGGTGGGAGGGGACAGAAGACAGCACAGGAATTGACATGGAAGTTCAACCCCAAGCTTTCTAGATGAGAGGTGAAATCCCGGGTGGGCAAGACCCCCATTTGCCCCAGCCTCTAGGTGTGCATGCGTGTGTGTGTGTGTGTGTGTGTGTGTGTGTGTGTATACAATGGGGCTAGGGTATTCCTCCCAGGGTGAAGAGCTGCAGAGTGGGGCCACGGGCATATTGACATGCCTAAGTTGCCTTATGTATTCATCTATCTGGGAGCATCAATGTCACTGCTTCATTGTCTCCATCATACCAAGTGTTAGGTGGGCCCTTGGGCTCCTGTGTGTCTCTTTGCCACACACTTGTGTCAGCAAGTCCCAACAGAAGGGCCTTCGGTGTGTAACTGTGCATGATGTAATGGGTGTGCAGTGCTGGGTTGTTGGGACCTTGTATCTGGGGCAGCCTGTCTGGTGTTGGCTTCACTGGCCACAAGCAGGAGTGTGGCACTCTGGTAGGGTGGTGTCCTTTGGTAGAACATGGCAAGTGGTTGTCTATGTAAAGTGCTGCCTGTCATGGGTACCCAAGTCTGTGTGCATAAGCCTGAGCATACACAACCTCATACTGGACAGCTTTCAGACCTGAGTACTAATATGGAGACACACTAAAAGTAGAGAGACAGACACAGATGTGCACAGGCTAAGCCTGCATGTGCCAGGGTAGGGCCAGTGGGGGTCCTGAGGAATGGGAAGAGGGGAGACAGCTGTTAGGGCACAGGTGACATTTGCAGGCTTCCTGGGCAGGGGTAACAGATTTAAGGGTGATCACTGCAGAGGGGGTACCTTTTCCAGCAGGTCACCCTAGATGGTCATAGATTCAGGAAATGGGTTCCTCTCAATCCCATCCTCTACCTCCTCTGCTGAATTGGGGGAGGGGGAGTCACTGTACCTAGGGCGGGTTGAAGGTATTTGGGTAATTTAGGGAGCAGACACCAGCAGATCAAGTCTGAAGAGTAACACCCAGGCCCCTAAAGACGCCGAGGCTACTCTTCAGAGACTGGCCAAGAGACGCAACTTGGCATCCTGACCCCAGGCCACTCCCTGTTTCCTGTCCCCAGGGTTTGCCTTCCCGGATTGGGCCTACAAACCGGAGTCCTCCCCTGGCTCAAGGCAGATCCAGCTGTGGCACTTTATCCTGGAGCTGCTGCAGAAGGAGGAGTACCAGGGCGTCATCGCCTGGCAGGGAGACTACGGGGAGTTTGTCATCAAGGACCCTGACGAGGTGGCACGGCTGTGGGGCATTCGCAAGTGCAAACCCCACATGAATTATGACAAGCTGAGCCGGGCCCTGCGGTGAGGAGGGGCTGGAGGCCAGGCTCCCACATGGTTTTTCCTTCACTGTCCTCCTGGCTCCCTCATGCCAAGGAGTGGGGCTTTCCCTCGACATTCTAGGACTGAATCCCATTGGAACCCCAAGTGCAGAGCTTTTCACTGTAGCTGCTAACTTAATTACTTGGGGGGAGGAGAGCTGAGCCCACTGACTGCTTCACCCATCTCTTGCCCCAAAACCTCAGTCAGGGACTCTCTTACCCCTTCCCAGTACCCCATCCTGTCTCCCACAGTTACTACTACAATAAGCGCATTCTCCATAAGACCAAAGGGAAGAGGTTCACCTACAAGTTTAACTTCAGCAAAGTCGTGCTCGTCAATTACCCACTGCTGGATGTGGCTGCCGCTGCCACTGGCTCCCCACTCTTGCTGACCCCTGGGCCCTTTGGGGGGGGCCCTGGGCCAGATGCTCCTCCCCTCACTCCTGAGGTGAGTTTGGATACTGGTGTCCTAGGACTGGACGTGGGGTGTCTTGTGTACCCAACCACAACACTTTCCTGGGAGGGAGCTGTCTCAGCAGCACTGCCTCCCTACTTCCCTCTCTAGACCCTGCAGAACCTGTTCTCTACCCCACGCCTAGGAGAGCCAGGGGGCCGGACGCCCCTGTTCACCCCTGAGACAGACAAACTACGTCTGGACAGCCCCTTCCCATTCTTGGGCTCTGGTAAGGGCCTGGGAAACACTGGGGGCAATCTGTATGTATTGAGGGAGGACTGCAGGGGACAAGATAGAGGGAGGAAAGCCCAGGCTAGGCTGTACATCTGGGGTGTCTGTGTATGGGCACGTTTTAAGAGCCAGAGGACGGTGGTAAGGATGTAGCTCGGTGGGTAGAGTGCTGGCCTAGCATACACAAAGCCTGGGATTTGATCCTTAGCACCACATAAACCAGGTGATGGTGCACACCTGTAATTCTAATACTTGGGAGGTAGAAACAGGAGGATCAAGGTCATCCTTGGCAGCAACATAGTGAGTTCAGTGTCAGCCTGAGCTACATGAGACCCAACACTCAGGAGGCTGAGGTGGACTACAAACTGAAGACCAGCCTGGGCTACCTAATGGGACCATCTCAAAAAGAAAAAGAAAAAAAATCAGATAAGGACAGCATGACATGTATGGTAGTGCATGCCTTTAATCCCAGCACTTGGGAGGCAGAGGCAGGTGGATCTCTGTGAGTTCAAGGCCAGCCTGGTTTACATAGTAAGTGCCAGGCCAGCTGGGGCTACAGGGGAAAAAAAAAAAAAAAAAACAAACCAGTCTACAAGGGGGTGGGCTAGCTGGCTGGGAGAAGGGTTTCAGGGAAGCCAAAGGAACAGGGAAACAAATGGGGAAGATTAAGTAGGGGGAACCATGTAAGGATGGGAGACCCTTAGTGGAAGTGTGTTTGGGAGGACGGGCAGAGCACACAGAAAGTTCACCCTCTAGGCAGTGGAGAATGGGCCAGCCTGACCTGCTCCCTGTGCCCCCCAGGTGCTACCGGCTACTCCAAGCCCCCCGGTCTGCTGGGTCCTTATGGCCGCACCTTCCCTGAGTACCCCTGGAACTTTAACCCGTATCTCACAGGCCCCTTCCCCAAGCTGCCCCCCTCCCTCTACCCACCTCACTTCTACCCCAACCCTTTGGGTTCCCTGGGTCATTTGCCCTCTGCGGGAACAGGGGGAGGCCCCACAGCTGCACCCCTGCTTGCTGCAACAGGGGAGGTCCTGGGCCCTGAACGCCCCTCTGGGCTGGCAGTGGCCCCTCGCCTGGCACTGCCAGGAGCTGGTGGTCCAGAGGCCACACTGGGTGGGAAGGAGGACAGCGACTCTGAGCTGGAGATCACCGATGTCAGCGGCTGCAGCTCTGACAGTGAAGGCGATGAGGGTCTACCAGTGCCACCCAAGACCAAGTCAGGCAAAGGGGGGAACGGCAGCTGAGCAGGTGTAGGGTGATGGATTCTGCTGTGGCGACCAGAGCAGTCACCTGAGAAGTCTCTTCTACTTAGTGTGCCCTTCACACCAGCCCAAGACCCAGGCCCAGGCCTTAGCACTGTCTCCTCCTTCCTTGACCCCAGAGTGGAGGTCATACTTCCTCCATGAGGGGGGAGGACCGACATGATGGCCTCTAGCCTCCTTCCCAGGTTCCAATTTGAGGGGGGTACCTGCCTGACCCCACTCTCAAAGTGCAATATGGCGCCCAGCCTCCCCTCCCCTCCTATGTGCTGTGACCTGTGTGTTTGTGTGGCAGTGTCTCCAACCCAGTGCCATTCCCTCTCCTGACATTCTCCCACACAGGCCCCCCCTGGGGACAGGGAGCTCAGAGCAATAACCCCGCCCCCAGCCCCCACCCAGGAGGGGCCCCCTCCCTATTAGCTCCTCTTGATCCCCCACAGCCACCTCCAGAGTTTACTACAAAAAATAAAAGAACAAGAGTGTGAGATGTGGGTTGCCCAGCATCTTGGATGACCATGGGGGGCCCAGGAATGTGGGCTGGGAAGTGTGTGTGTGTGTGTGTGTGTGAGTGTGTGTGTGTGTGTGTGTGTGTGT